CACAGAGATTTCGGGCTACCTGCAAAGATGGCTAAGAGGAAAGCATGACAAGATTCTTTTATGGACATGGCGATCATTGTACCATCTGTTGAAGTAGTTGTTTAGAAAATCCATATTTTATCAAGGTGCCAGTTCGTTAAATACCTTTGTTCATTTCGTTTTCTTCGTCCTCGTTCTTTTTTGGCATTTTTTCTTATTGCAGTTTTCCATTGTTCTTTTCCATTATTTGCATCTTATGTTTATTTTTTTTTCTTTTTTCCTTCTTTCACTTTTTTTCTTTCATTTCGGTCCTTTCTTCTTCTACAGTTTTTCTTTATCCTTATCCTTTGTTTTTTAACCGAACATTGCTACTACTGACAAGAATGTGGCAAATTGATTACTTTTATTCATTTAGTTGTTCTCCGTCATTGTCTTTGGGTGCGTGTCGTCGCGAGGGTGGTTCACGACCACCAAAGCCGGAACCGCAGAAACCGTGTGCTTGTTTGGCGACAATTCTGGCGCTTGTGGTTTCGCAACGACGGTCGGCGTGTTCGCTTTCTTCGCCAACATCATCTTCGCCATTACCGGTGAGTGTCTGAGAAGTCGCTGCTCTCACCATTCGGCGCCAAGCATCTTCCAGGCTGTGTCACCAGTTATTACTGAACGTTGATTCATCTTTTTACTTCCTAAAGCACAACAACCTTCTTCTGTTATTCTTAATTTTTTAAACGGCATTGACGCTGAGAAGGGCATACAGTAGACAGTCAAAGAAGAACCAAGTGACAGAATTTCTTCTCTGAACATCAAGGTAAATTAAGACTTTATGAACAATACTCCCTTGGAGGATTCGTTACCTGTTTGGGTAACAATTAATTATTCTCGTTGCTCCGTCCATGTTCAAGATTATAAACAAGTCATTGAGCGATTCATGGTTCACGGCACGGCACGAAATGCTACACATGTTAAAACCTGTATTGCCTGAAGAATGACGTTATTCACGGTAGTTTTGTAATTAATACGATGGAGATGCAATTATGCAGGAATGTTCAAAGAAGCTGATGAAGAACGAGATTGTAGGAATGTTTCGATCACGAAACTGCCGTGAACATTGTGTTGGGCAATAAAGGTTTTGCCATCCGTTATATTTGATATCCTGAACAGTGAATCGTTAAACCAGTTATCTATATAACAGTGCACTCAAAATTAGATGACGAGGCATTTGGCTACCTTGGCAGAATTTGGTTTCTCAGAATGATTGAGAAGCCAAAGCGTCAAACATCACTGGTCTGGGTATTCGGTCTTTGATCTTGGTACCTCTGACGGCGATGACAGCAACAACATGCAATTTCCTTTACTCGCGTTTCGACGTCAGGGTTTTATTGCATGCGTAAAACGGCACTTTTGCACAGCACCTAGTTGTTATATTTGTGTATAATTACCTTGACGAAGACGCTGGTATGCGGCGTGGAAACGCGTCCGTGAGTAAAGAAAATTACAGAATGCACTTTAAACTGTTGGTTTAAACCATCGATAAATAAATCAGTGAGAATCGTTCATTTACCGTTTCTTTCTAGTTTCCTCAACGAACAGAACTGCGGTCACTTCGTACAACCAAGTTCTGCCTTTTTCGACCATAGCTCGCAAATATTGCCATCAACTTGCGTAGAAGTAAAACTTGCATAATATGATATCCGTCATGCTTATTTAATGGTTACGATCATAGGATATGCCACAACGTAATCGTTTCATTCATCCGTCAAAATACGACCCTTCAGCCCCCCCCCATTGCAATAAAATCGAAACACCTCTTCAACGTAAATCTGTTGCGATTGGATGATGACGTCACTCTTGTTTTCTTCCAAGGTCTTAGATCGATTCACTTCTTCTGTCTGTATAAGTCCCGTAGAATTTTTTTCTCCATCTGTAATGAATCTCATAAATGCAGTTTGGCTTGTTGCTAGTCATGCCGCAAGAGAGATCGTTTGCGCCATGATCCACTGCCAGCTGACGGCATTCGTTGTATTGTCAAGCTTGACATGCTTTCATAATGCGTCACTAAAGCACGGCCGCCATCGACCTGCTCCCGTCGATTCTCATTAACAGTTTTTGCCATAATTAAAAGTACTGTATTAACCTGATCTTACATCTGATGCGCAGGCCAAAATGCAAATAGAACGCAGTTCATTGCATGGTCGGTTACTTGATGATACGATGATGCTAATCCGATGAACAGTTCAAACGTATGGCACAACATTCCCATAGTAAATTCGCTTTCAGAAGTAAATAATCAATGATGACATCGCCCACTGAAAAGACCGGAACACTAGCATAGCGATCAGAATCAACCGCGGTAGTCATTATAGTAGCAGCGTTTCACGAAATACGGGTATTTTTGTTTACAATGGCATGGACTAATTACTTGCTGCCGTATAAATTGATTCCCTGATTACAAGGACTTCGAATCGGTTAAGACTGCATGTTCACACCGCAACATCGATGATATCGATGGTGTCGGTAACTGAAAATAATTTATATAATTTACTAGTGTACTGAAATTACGGTTACGGACGTGGTAGCATAGCAGCAAAGCGGTCGGCTTCGAACGCCATAAGGTGTCGTTCGAATTCATATAATGTACAGTCTTTGTCTTTACCCTGGATTACCTGCAGTTGAGCAAGAAATTTACCCTACGTTCTTCGGTGCAACCAGCCTACAAAAACGTGTTAATTTGTTCACTTGCGAGTAATGGAGACAACATGGTGTTCCGGTGTGGTCATACCGGAATGGACGAGGTATACAGTGATGCCACACAAGAGCCCCCCTTGTGTTTGCAACACTTTGCCTTGATCCACCTGATCTCTGACTGTCATGTGTAATGATAAGGGCTGGGTGTCACGCCAGAAAAAAATTCAATAAATTTTGTTAACCATTATTATAAACCAGCGCCTTTATTCCCTTCAGACTTTCTTTGGAGGACACATCTATTTGTTTAAAAGTTAAACTGTTTTTACGTTGTCGAAATACGTTTTACGGCGATTAAAGAAATTCATGTCAAAACCTATATGCAGGTTTTGAATGGCCTGACAGTTTCCTTCACCTAACTGAGTGAGCAACTGTACCAATTGAGGAAGGTTGAGTGGGTCATTAGGTTACCGAAAAAACTGCCCCTGGTGGACAGGTCGAAATCGACCTGGCCCCATTGCTACTTCATTGACTGCCTGTAAGAATAGACGTTCGCAAACGTCGCGTTGTTCAATAAAACACGTAACCGATGCGAGCTGCTTTGTTTTGCTTAATTTGCGTATCGTTGGACCTTCTCTATAAACATTGACCAAATTCTATTAGATTGATGCTCTTTAGATGTGTATTTTGACAACATATCGTCGGTTGGCACTCGCCGAAGAATAGTCGTCAGTGACTTGATCACGTCAGGTAAATATACACGATTTTCAGCTTCAGCAGTGTGTTGTCTTTTTTATGACGTTTAAGTCGATTCTTTGCTTAAGCTCTGTTTTTATCGTTGTTGCTGTTTTGTCATCGTTGTTTGAAGCTAACAGTGCTTGAACAGCACATAGATGAGATTTGTAATGTATGTCCATTAGAAGTAGTACTTTACATTGATATTGAGAAATGTTCTCTGCTGCGGCAATAGTGAACAATTCATCTTTGCAAGCAGATCTGCCCCAGCGAGAATTTTTATTATTATGCTTTTCTGATAGTGTACTTTGATTTTATGTTCGGATACAACATGTTAATGACATCTACATCAAAACCGGATTTCACAGAAAATTTCATCATTCCCTCACATCCACATGCGTAGTGGGACATTAATAAACCGCCGCATCGTACGCATCTCGTCGCATCAATTTATTCGCTAAAGCAATCTGTTTCTCATCACGAAGGATTGTACTTAATACTTCAGGTTTTTGATTCTGGGCGCAGAGTAATGTCGATAAGTATTTGAACGATTTATGGTCCAGCGCACCCAGTACAACTGATGGTACAACAGTTTATTGCCTACGCGTTTCCCTACATACACCGTTGCATCGTCAGGGCTAGGCTAGGTACAAATAAATACTTGAAGGCACATGTCCAACGAGCAAACAGTACTTTACAATGGACAAAATATATAACTCCGATGTTCTTAGGGATCTTTCGATGCCGCCGCTGAAAATATCACATTAAAAATATTGATACCGTACTGAAACGGCGAAAATGCATAGTATAAACAAAGAAAAATCTATTTCTCACTTTACACCAGCAGCTCTGTTGCACCGCCCCTTTCGTCTAGATACCTAGAGGGACCATTTAAGCAGGCCACGATCCCATGGTATTTTAGCGCCTGCAGTGCATAGAACGCGGAACCACATCTCAAACTGAAGTTAAATAAAAGTATATTCAACCAAGATTGCCACGATCCGATGGAGAACGATGGACAAAATACATATCCCCAATCTTCTTGGGGACTTTTCGATACTGCCGCTGAAGATATCGCATCCGTTCTCCAACGGATGCTGGTAATCTTGGTTGAATAGCCTCTTATTCAATTCCAGTTTATGACGCGGTCTTGCGTCCTATGCACTACAGGCGCTTAAATACCATGGAACCGAGGCTTGTTTGACTGATTCATTTAGACGACTAGAAGAAAGGGAGGGTGCAATATTGCGGTACTGCCATGTTGTTGATGTTGATTTCTTGACACAACACATTTTCGCTTTTTCAGTCCCGTACCTGTATTCATTTGTAATGTCATATGAACCGGTCATATTGAGAGCTTCCACTTGCGGAAGCTACTACAGAAGATCGGGTTTATATATCTCATGTTATTGGCAACGCTTTGTTGTAAACTATGTGCCAATTGGAAAGCAGCTGTATTGTTTGCCTGTTGGATATAAATGCCTTGAAGCAGCCAGTTGTACTCAGCCCAGCTCCGATGATGCACCAGCCTATATAGTGAAACGCGTTGGTAGTAAAGGTTTTACCATCTGCTGTGTTCTGTTCCCTGAACCATGAAATGTTCGACCACGTGGGCATATAACTGCGGGCTACAAATCTAAAACCTGAAGTCATATTTATTCATACTGAACCTTATTGTTCAGAATACTATTTTTTAAATTATTGGTGTTGATTTAAAGTAACTTTTCTACGGTTTACGTTACTCTCAACGAATTTTGCTAAATAATTAGTTATTACGTAAAATTAATTTCACGT